TTATATAACTGTTTGCAGAATGCATAGTCAAAGGTCTTTTGTGCATCAGAGTATTCAGTTAAAAAGTTTCAAGACCACTACTTTATGCCATACTGTCCCTTCACTTGTCCTCTGCTATTGATTGAGCTTCACCTCCCTAAAGCAGTGGCTCTTAAATCAGGAGACTAGATGCTTTCTACACGTGGCTTTGGACAAGTCAGCCCTCTCTGGGCCTCAGTTTCCCCGACTGCAAAATGTTGGGGGTTGGACTACGTGGCCTGTGAGGTTTCTTTCAGCCCTACATCTCTGATCCTACAATTCCTTCAACACTCATGTTTCATCTTTTTATGCTGACTTTTCTCTACTCTTTTTTTATATCTGTTTCTTGTGATAGTTTCCCCAGTGGTCTTTGCTTTTCTTCCCATTCTTCCCGTGGGCCTGCTTCCATTTATTTCCACTTCACTCTTCTCCCACTATGCACTTATCATGTTTCATTATGTGAATTACAGAGAAAGGAATTAAGTCACTGGAATGAGATTAGCCGCCAATTTAGGAGAGTGAGAGAGAGCAAAAGAAGTTGTAAAGGAAGTTGGTTTCAGAGAAACCTGGGAAAACTCGTATGAATTGAGTGAAGTCAGCAGAACCACAAGAGCAATTTATAGAATAACTCCATGGACAGACTTAAGAACTCTGATCAAGGACCATCCACAATTTTAGAGGATCGATGAATCATGCTACCCACCTCCTGACAGAGGTGATACTCAAATAGTAGAATATTACATGACTTTTTATATAGTCAACGTGGGAATTTGTTTTGCTTAATTGTGCATATTTGTTAGAAAAGTTCTGTTTTTCTTTTTTTTTTCCACTTGGTGAGGAAGAAGAGAGGGCAAGAAAACTTCTCCCTCCTAGTAAATAGATGCATTTTTGTTGTTGAGTCACTTCAGTCATGCTCGACTCTTTGTGACCCCATTTTGGGTTTTCTTGGCAAAGATACTGAAGCAGTTTGCCATTTCCTTCTCCAGCTCATTTAGCAGATATTGAAGAATCTGTAAACTGAGGCAAAAGGTGTTAAATGACCTGCCCAGGGTCACATAGTAAGTGTCTGAGGCTGGATTTGAACTCATGAAGATGAGTCTTCCTCACTCCATGTCCAGCACTCTATCCACTGCACCACCTAGCTGCCCAATACATACATGCATGTATGCATACATACTTGTATGCATATACACAGACAAAGTTAAATACAAGGCAGTTTGGAAAGGAGGTCTAGTTGGGGCTATCAGGAAAGCCTTCATGCAGAAGATGCTACCTTGACTACAGCTTAAGGGAAACTGAGTCAGAGGTAAGGAAGGAATGCATCCCAAGCATATCCAACAGCTAAATTTTATCTTGGGCCTTACATTTTCCAACAGAGAGGGACCTGGGGCTGCTCCTCCTCTACACTCTATGGGTATTCACCTTGACAGGGAATCAAATAGGTGCCATTTGGTCCAAATTCCCCCAGTAGGCCTCAGATGTCACAGGAGAACACAGCTGCAGAAGAATCCACACATTTTGTGGGTAGGAGAGATAGTGTTAGCTGGGGAGCTGAATAGGAGAAAAGAATACAAACCTTGCATAAGATATTAGAATCAGTAAAAAATATCCTGCTTAGAGAGGTTACCATTTTCTTTTCACCTTGAAACTTATGTGGTAACAAGTTTAGAAAAGACTTCTCAAGAGAAGGAAAACTTACCAGAGAAGTGAAAACAGAAACTTGAGGGGTGGGAGACACTCTGCATATGATTTCAATGAAACCAAAGACTTTTCTCATTAAAGTGTTTTATGATCTGCGGCACACATGTACATGACACCATACGGGCTAGCTGTGAATAAGGCTTAGGGCTTGTGCCAGGACTCTGATCAAACAAAAGAAACTCTTTGAGGGTGACTCTTGGGTACCAGAGCAGGAGGGCCCAGATTCTGTGTCCCTTTCATCTGAAAATATTTACCAAACTTGCCAAAAGCATCACCCCATATGGAAAATAAGGAAGGAGGAGGCTTCCCAGTGTTTGTGGCAGGCCCCGAGCAGATCAATAGCCCGGAACCCTCGGCAATATTATTTTTATTTTACTCGCCACAGCTCGTAAATGTAAACACATCCCTTTCCGTGTGAGACTACTTACTTTTGTTGTTCAATACAGTATGGTACAGATAAGATAATTATTGGCCTAAATGAAGCCAGTGGTACCATATGCTATCTTGACCCAACCATTATATTCCAGCAGACCAATAGGGCAGGTCTGGATAACCACCGAACAAGAAGATTTCAAGTCAGGAGATTTTATTTTAACGTGCTTGGGGATGTATGGAGCCTCTTGTTTTCTGTCAGGCAGTTAATGAGACCTCGTTTTTGCTACCTGATTATGCAAAATGAACAAAGACTATACACAATGGTTTCTCCCATCTGGTGAATAATGCAATATAATTATTTAATTAGGGCCTCGTACCATGTGCACAAGAAAAATGGAGCCAAGCACATCAACCTAAGCACACCCCAAGGAACTGTTACCCAACACTTGGTATTCTGTTCATTACTTCTGTTTATTTACTGTCCACGGAATCAAAAAGATTTTTCTGACATCATAAAGAGGCAGAATGAGGCAAACTTAAGCAGGATTTATTCTTCAATTATATTTCCTTGAAATCAGAAATAAAAAAGCTGTGTATCATTTTTATTGGTTTACAAGCCTCCAGTCATGGCAGAGACCTTCTTTCTCTGCCTTCCTCTCCCATATATTCTTTGTCTCAGCTCAGCAGTGTGTCTGGAGCCCCTCCTCCTTGCCATAGGAAACTATCACCATTTTAAGGTCACGCTAGCTTTTGTTATGTAAATTCTATTTTCATATGGCTTTTCTATTTCTAGTCATCCTTCAGTATTACCAGCAAACGGCACTCAAAATTGAACAAACATGAAAAGGGGACCCAGATACCTTGGATTTATTTTTCCTCACCTGGGGATAGCAGCAGAAATTTGAATATTTATGCTCATGAAGATCTAGGTGGAATTTTTTTTTTTGATAATAGGTTTACTTATTCTCCCCAAAGGAGAAAAGTCATTCTTAATTTTCAACGTTCATCTTTACATTTCCTTCACTTTTTGAAAAGATTTGTCATTATTTCATTATTCAAGGTATGTCCCTAAAGGAAGAGGACAGGAAGAAGTGAGAGAGAGGATATGGAGGAGGGAGATGGAGAGAGTGTGAGGGAGGAAGGAAGGAAGGAAGAGAAAGAAAAAGAAAGTAACTGCCTGTAACTGACTGTAGGAAGAAAGTATTTAGGGTATGTAGGATTAGGAATTTTGAAATATGTGAAAATTTCCTGTTTGCTTTTTTTTAAATCCAAGAAATCTACAGAGATCTGCTGTGTTATTACTCCACCCTGATACACTGATAGAAACTCATTAGCTTGTCGTAAAAGACTTCTTTTCTTACTTAGTAAACTTTATTCCTTACCCTCGCTTTCTTCATCTCTAAAATAGAGGCATAATCATGTCTATGCTATCTACTCTATGTGGTTGTCATAAGGATCAATTCAAATAATGTATGTTAAGTTCTTTGTAAATCTTGAAGCACTATAAAAATATCAGCTATAATTATTAGCTTTATAAGCATTAGGGTTAGGGACTAGACCTGTGATTTCATTAATTCTATATGGAACTCCCAGGTGAAAGAATTCCCTCCACTAATGCAGTTCTCTGCCATTAGTAGTCTTAGACCAGGGGTGGAGAACCTGCAACCTCAAGGCCTTCTAGATCCTTGGATACTGCCTTTTGACTGAGTTCAAGTTTTACAGACCAAATCCTTTTATTAAGGGGATTTCTTCTGTGAATTTGGATTCAGTCAAAGGGCTGCACTTGAGGACCTAAAGAGCCACATGTGGCCTTGAGGCCTGGATTCCCCACTCATGTCTTAGCTGCCTCGAATACTGAGTTAAGTGACTTGCCTGGGGTTATATAACCAACATATGTCAGGGGCCAGGCTTAAACCCAAACCTTCCTGATTCCAAGGCCAGCGCTCTTTCCACTATAGCCCTCTGCCTTACACTATCATTATTATTATACTCTGCTTGTTGTTATTACTGTCATTGTCTTCCATACTCTCCTGAAGAGAGGTCATTCTCTAAGTATAAGGGAAGTGTTTAGAGATGAGGGGTCTGGACTCTTTTGTGACCCTAGGGAGCCTGAAACTATCATGTCAGCTCAACTTATGAAATAAACAATCATCTGTTAGTCTAGTGATTTTCATCCCAAAATTTTTCCTGAGATTTTTTGATGCTTCTGCTGTGCTTCGTAGGCAGATGCAATTGATTCATGTTTTCTTGAGCAGTTTGAAACCTCCATGATCAAAACTCCTATGGTGGTACAGAGCAAGATGGGTAAAGAAAGCCCTCACCTAAACTGAAGTTGGAAAATCATTGGTAGGTGATATAGTAGCCAGCATATTGGGCTTGGAGCCAGGAAGGCCTGGATTGAAATCCTGAATCAGATAATTAATAACTGTATGACCCTGGACCAATCTCCTTTGTGTTTCCAATATCATCTATCTCACAGGGTGGTTGGCAGGATCAAATAAGGTAATAAATGAAAAGTACTTTGTATGCCTTAAAGCATAATATACATGTTAGCTATTACCATTACAAACTCCTTGGTTCATACCTGACTTTCCCCCCGAAAAGAGATGTCATATTTGAAGAATATCTTTAGATGAGGGCAGCTAGGCGGCACAGTGGATGGTACACTGGTCTTGAAGTCAGGAGGACCTGAGTTCAAATCTAGCCTCCAACACTTATTAGCTGTGTGATCTGGAGCAAGTCACTTGATCCTGATTTTTATATATATACAATATCAGATGGTAAGATGACTCACTAAAGGTCATCCCATGAGTATGGGGCAGCACAAGTTAAGTCCAGTAGCCTTATTCTTTCTTCTTTAATCAAGCACCTTGCCTTACCCTTTGGTGTGTGGCTTCCTTCCACAGATACCTAGCACTTTATGCATATAAGCCACAGAAGAATGATGAGTTGGAACTACGTAAGGGGGAGATGTACCGAGTCATTGAGAAGTGTCAAGATGGCTGGTTCAAGGGAACATCCCTGAGAACTGGGATCTCTGGAGTCTTCCCAGGAAACTACGTGACTCCTGTCTCCAGGTGAGGAGAATAAAGCAAATAGTCTTGCTTTTTGAGTTACAGCAGTCCCCTCCACACTTTTCTTCAAGGCCCAAAAGATAACAGAAAATGCGAGATTATACCGTAATTGTAAGTATCTAGAAGTCATCTTTGTTTGACTTTGGGAAGAATGGTGAAATTTTTTTAAAGGGAACTGACAGAACTTTTTCACTCGCACCTTTTAGCTAATATCGGACTAAATTTCCCTTCTACATCTGGGAACGTACTGAAGAAGCCTTCCATGCTCGCCTTCCTAGCTTTGTTTTGGCATGGAAATACTTTAGAGGAATGCATCTAGGAAAATGCCCAGTTTTAATACAATCCAAAACTCTAACAACCCAGGCTCTCAATTGAGAGAATGCTTGCAGTACCAGTCCATTTGTCATTCCAATCCGTTTGCATGAGGGAGGGCTCATGATTAATCAGAAAGAACACTGACTCTAGAATCAGGGGGAATGGGTTCAAATTCTTCCTTTCATAATTATAACCTTGGGTAAAGCATGTCTTTCTGGGCCTCAGTTTTCTCATCTGTGAAATGGGGATGAGGGGCCTGCCTAGATAGTTTTAAGGTCCTGTTTAGTTCTAAATATAATTCAATAAGCTATCTTCCTAATTATATTTTACTTAGTATCTGATAAGTTACTTAAAGGCAGTTGACCTAGTTGAGCTTTAAGGTCACTTCCATCTGTGAAATTCTCCTAACTAGCTCAGAGACAGTAGTTAATAATAGAGGAAAAGAGTGTTAACTCATTTTGCATTAAAAATCCACAACAGGTAAAAATGTGAGAATATTCTCACTGAATGAAACAAATTGATTCCACAAAAGCAGAGTACTTGGTGAAACATTAGCGTTCCATAGGCATGGTATTATAAATCATTGGCCAAATTGTGTCCTTGTACAGTTGCATGAAATTATTGAGAGAGTTTAATGTAATATATTAATTATGATCTTTTTAAATATATGGGGTCTGACTGTGCGCAGAAGCAAATTAACCCAAAGCAGAGAGTCAGGAGTAGACTTTGCATGCCTCCTGCATTGGGCATCTATTACATACTAGGCACAAGAGCATACCTTAGGCCTAAGGTCATTAAGTTCCCAATGTCATTGAGGAGACATTTCATTTATGTATATATATATGCACACATACATATATATATATACACACATACATATATATATATATATATATATATATATTCATTCTTTATATATATTTTAGGGCAGGCTGGGTTTCCCTACCTCACCAAGGCTAGAAGAACAATACCTATTTTTAGGCCTGATCCCACCATTAATTAGCACAGGAACTTTGACATGCCCCATTTCCTACCTGGGCCAATTGACCCCTCCTTGGGTAACCTGGTGGTCCACATTCCCACAAACATAGACGTCCTCCCAGGGATTCATCAAAGTGATGCTGAACCTGGTATGGATACCCAATCACAGTAGCCCACTGCAGATCAGAAGGCTTGAGCTCAAGAGATCGACTAGTCAATATCACCTTCCCCGGGATCTGGGATTACAGATGTGCGCCACCACGTACATATGGCTGAGACAGGTGAGTGTAACCAAAAAAAAAATTTATTTGGTACCTTCTCTTTGCAAGGACTGGACTCAACAATAGGGAAGCCACAAACAGTACTAATATACCTGAACATGGACTAACTACACATAATAAGTCATATTTTACAGCTCATCAGACTTATATAGAAGTTAATGAACCCCTTTTTAGTTAGGAGATTGGAGAGATAACTAAGTGATTTATCTCAGATTGTTGAGTTTACCCATTTATATTCCTTAGCCAGGGGTTCTTACACTGTGATATCTAAATCAATCAGCTAGTATTTATTTAGTGTCTACTATGTGTCAGGCACTATTCTCAGTGCTGGAGATTAAAATACAAAGAATGAAATAATCCCTACTCACAGTGACCTAACATTCTCATGGAATTCTCAAGGACTTTCTTTTTTGGGTAGTCTTTTGGGCCACCCTGGACCACACTGACCTCTTCTCTCCTTCACGTGTGACATTCCATCTCTCATGTCCGTACATTTGCCCTAGCTGTCCCCTAGGCCTGGAATGAACACTCTCTTCACCTCTACCTTATAGCATCCCTGATTACCTTCAAGATGGAACTTGAGTGTTACCTCCTACATAGTACCCTTCTTCAGCCTCCTACTGCTAGTCATTGGTCCTCTTCAAGAACAAAGGATGAGGGCGGCTAGGTGGGGTAGTGGATAAAACACCGGCCCTGGAGTCAAGAGGACCTGAGTTCAAACTGGCGTTCAGACATATAACACTTACTAGCTGTGTGACCCTGGGCAAGTCACTTAACCCCATTACCTAGAAAAAAAAAAAAGAAAAGAACAAAGGATGAACAACAACCCCTAGTGCCCTCCCTTTCAAATTACCTGGTATTTAATTACCATTTATTTATTCTCTTTTTGTGTAAATGTGTATATATCCACACACACATACACACACACACACACACACACACACATATATATGTATGTATATATGCAAATAGCGATATAAAGGCAAAGATGAAGCAGTCCTTGGCCTAACAGAGTTTACATTCTATCTTAAAAGAGAATATATATGTATGTGTGTGTATGACACATTCTTTCTCACAGTAGAATGTAAACTCCCTTAGGCCAGGGATTGTTTCATTTTTATCTTTATATCTCTATTCTCCAGCATAGTTCCTGGCACATTTGTTGTGGAGTCATTTTTCAGTTGTGATCAATTGTTCATGACTTCCATTTTTCTGGGAGAGGGGTGTTGGCAGAGAGGGGGTTTGCCTTTTCCTTTGATAGCTCATTTTATAGATGAGGAAACCGAGGCAAACAGGATTTAGTGACTTGCCCAGGATCACACAGCTAGTAAGTGTCTGAGACCAGATTTGAACTCAGGAAGATGAGTCTTCCTGACTCCAGGCCTGGCACTCTATCCACAGTGCCACCTAGCTGCCCAGTGCCTGGCACCTAGTAGACTCTTAATAAACCTTTCTTGACTGACCATGGGCATAAGAACTTGAAGATTCAGAGGTCCAGGGAGGTAATATCAGATCAAGTCACACCCTTCACATGATCCACAATAAGGACATGTTAGAAAACCACAAAGTAGACAGCAAAAGCATGTGGGGCAGGTGGATTTTCCCCATGGCTTATCTGTGTCAAATGAGAGAGAAAGGAAGCATGTTTGGTTTCTAAATTCTCCCTCCTCTGTTTTGATAGCACTTTTTTAATTGGTGTGCAATAACTTCCCCAGATGTTAGCATTCCAGTGCTAGATTTTAAAGAAGGAAGATCTGAGTATTGGTTTCAAATGCCAGTGTTAGCTGGCTGTCTTTTAGCTCCTACCATCCCCCCCAAAAAAAATATTTCTCCTAATTCATTGCAATCCTTTGGCAAAATAACCTTGAAAGTTCACCTGCAGCTGAGCAATGTCCAATGACAGGAGATATAGCAACAAATGCCAACAGTGTATTTTTGTTTCCCATTTGGAAGCCACTTGAGTCAGTGAAAATAATTGGTTCTGACAGATCTAGAGTTGCATTTCAGTCAATGAAGATTAACACTACTCCCTCTTAATGCTTAAACTGCTCGTTAACCTACATTCCTCCACCTGGATTTGACAAAATAACTTGGCTATGAAATAAATGAACAGAATGTGGTAGGGGAGTGCCATTTTGGGAGTCTGAGAGCTGACCATGTCATCAAATAGATCTGCGCCTAAGCATAAAGAATCTTTGGAAGGGAAAAATATCATCATTTGTCACTAGAAGGTCTGGTTTATACCAGGCCAATCATAGCTCATTTTTGGGGGATCTGTGAAATCGTGATTTTCCATAATGTCAAAGGATTTTGCATTTAATGGCATCTTAAAGATCACAGAATCTGAGAGTTGGAAGGAACCTCACAGGCATCTAGTTTAACTGATACCCAGAAGGAATCCCCATTATCACATAGTAGTTCTCTGTCCTCTACTTGAGAACCCTTAAGGATGGAAGACCTACCATCTCTCAAAGAAATCCCACTCTGCTTAGGAATTTTTTTTCTGTTATCAAGATTAAATTTATATTTTTTAAATTTATGTTTGTATAAATATATTTATATTTTTTAAATTTATATTTTTTGTCTTCTACCCATTGGGACAGCTAGGTGGCAAAGTGGGGAGAGTGCTGGGCCTGGAGTCAGGAAGACCTGAGTTCAAATCCAGCCTCCCACACTTAACTAGCTACGTAACCCCAGTCAGGTCACTTAATCCTGTTCATCTCAGTCCCTCATCTGTAAAATGAACTTCAGAAGGAAATGACAAATCACACTACTATCTTTGCCAAAAAAAAGAAAGAACCAAATGGGGTCACAAAGAGTAGGACACAAATAAAAAATGACTTGGCAACAAGAAGAATCCATTGCTGCTGGTTTGCCCTTTAGGACTAAGCAAAATAAATCTAAGCCCTCCTATATATAACAGCCCTTCAGTATTTGAAGACAGCTATCTTGTACCACTCCCATCCATCCCCAGTCTTCTCTTCTCCAGACTAAATAGACCCAATTTTTTAAACTAATCCTCATATGAGATGAGCTCAAGGCCCTTCACTATATTGGATAACCTCCTCTGGATATTATTCAACTCATCAGTGTCCTTCATATGTGCCCAGGACAGAACACAATCTCCAGATAAGGTCTGATGAAGGCAGAGAATAGTGGTAGGATCATCTCTCTATTCCTGGAAACAGTGCCTCTCACTGCATCCATTCTCCTCAACCCACTCCCTCTAGAGACACCTGGACTCCTCTGGAGAGCCTCTAAAGTCAAATAATTATGCTTCCACCTTATCTTTTCTACAGACAGGCCTTCTCATCATTTCCTGGCCATTTCCAGATCATGGTACCTCCATTCTGGCCATCTTCTTCAATATCAATCACCATCACCACTAGAAATACCTGGCCTCTGCTAGGTGAATTTGTTTTCCAT